ACCTGTGCACAATCAGAACCAAATCTGGAGCTCAACTATCTGGAAGTAAACACTGGCTTGCAACTCAATATGTGATTTCCTAGGTTAGTGACTTCACAACCCTGTGCTTCAACTTCTCCATCTGCAAATTGGATGTGATAGTAGTACCTACTTTGTAGAGCTACCACTATTAAACAGGAGAGCCTTTTAAAGTTCCTAGTATAAAGTTCCTATTGTAATTAATAGTAAATATTAATTGCTCTAGTAATTAATCTACACATTTTTAAATTTCATACCAACTGATTTACTAGGCTTATTTTAATTATTTTTAGACCTGCAAAAAAGTAAGTAAAAAATCTGACCTATATCCACAATTTAGATCCTAGAATTACTCTCTATGTTTTGGCACCAGTTACGGTTCTAGGGAGGACCTATTCCATTGTTATGTGCATTGTTATGTATGAATATGTTCTATAACCATTTATTAAATATTATATGCATTATTAGGATAAAAACGCTCTTCACTGAACATGGGTGGTGGCAGTTCGAGCCCCAATTTTTTTTCTTTCTTTCTTTCAAAGATTTATTTATTTATGCATACAAGAACTGGGGTGGAGGCCAGAGGTGCGGGGGTGTGAGACGATTCACCAGACAGAGTAGGAAGCAGACAGAACAGGCAGATCCACTGAAATACACTGCTGAGGGGAGCAGGGGGCAAGACAGGAGAGGTCTGCTGCGCCATGTGGGTTGCTCCCTCGATGGGGATCGAACTCGTGCAGTAGTGGCTGCCAATAGCTTCATAGAGCTTCACAGTACTGAGACTTTAACCCCTGAGCCACTGGGAGGCGGGGGGGGGGCAAAATTTTTCTATTAAAGAAGTTTACTTGGGGCCTCCCCTGGTGGTGCAGCGGTTGAACGCTGGGCTGCAAAGCTGCCCGCAGCCTCTGCAGCGCCGGTTCGATTCCCTGGCTGCCGCGAGGCTCCCACATGGCACGACAGACCTCTCCTGCCGCGCCTGCTGCTCCCCTCAGCAGTGTATTTCATCGGTCTGCCTGTTCTGTTCCTCGCTCTGGCTCTGGTGAATTCTCTCACCCTCCCACGCTTCTGACTGAACCCAGTGCTTGTATAAATAAATAAATAAATAAATCTTAAAAAAAAAAAAATGAAAATCTTAAAAAAAAAAAAAAAAGTAGTTTACCTGGACATGAAGCCCAGTGTATACAAACTCAGATCTCCAGGTCACATTAACTGGATGGTCCCCTCAGCCACGGAGATCCTGACAAACTATTATTTACCCTACTGTCATTAGGCAAACAGAGCCTCACCCAATGACATAATTATCATAGTTATTTATATTAGGGGTTACATGGAACCTGTAGCCATGTAGACACCCCATTATGTGGCAGGTCCAGGCTTTTAGGTCATATGAATATGATGGCTCTTATGTCAAAAAAGCATGTGCTCCAGGACCCCTCTGGTGGTGCAGGGAGTTGAGCGCAGCGCTGTGAAGCTGTGGACAGCCTCTGCAGCGCAGGTTTGATCCCCGCTGGCCTCAGAGCAACCTACATGGCAAGCAGACCTCTACTGTCTCGCCCGCTGCTCCCCTCAGCAGTGTATTTCATCAGTCTGCCTGTTCTGTTCCCCCCTCTATCTCTGGTGAATCCTCTCACCCTCCCACACATCTGGGCTGTATTTAAAAAAAAAAGAAAAAGAAAAAGAAAAAGAAAAAAAGCATGTGCTCCATGGGGGCTTTCCTGGTGGCGCAGGGGTTAAAGTCTCAGCAATATCAAGCTACTGGCAGCCATTGCAGCATAAGTTTGATCCCCGGCCAGGGATCTAACTCACATGGCGCAGCAGGCCTCTCCTGTCTTGCCTGCTGCTCCCCTCAGCAGTGAATTTCAGTCAGTCTGCTTGTTCTGCTCTCCACTCTCTCTGGTGAGTCCTCTCACCCACTACCCTGCACCTCTGGCCTGTACCGCAGTTCTTGTATACATGAATATATAAATCTTAAAAAAATATATACTGTGTCGGGGCCCAAACTTGAGGCCCAGACCTGAACATCCGGGTTCTTGCCTGAAGCAGGTACTGAATGTTAGCTCCAGGGAAGGTTTCAAGTTTCCTATTGTGACGACTGAACCTTTCCCCCTGCTTGCTACTGTGGCTTGTTTGCATTGGTGGTCTCTCCTTGCTAGAGATAACGAGAGACCTCCTCCTCTGAACCCTATATAACATTGTACACATTCCTGAATAAATGAGACTGGCGATGATCCTGGCTTTGTCTCCACTCCTCGCGTACCCCTGTCCCATACCAAGCCCCTGCTTCCTCCCCGGGGTACCCAGTTGATCTGCCCGGCTGGCCCGGACATTTGGCGCCCAGCGTGGGGCCCGGGTACGAGGAAGAACTTACAGAGGGAGAAGACGCCCGAAAAGGAAGCTAGCTAGCTCAGGAGGAAGCCTTACCGACGTGGGACCCTGCTACGTCGTGGATAAGGTAAGCTCAGGTACAGCGTCTGAATCATGGGACAGGAAATAAGCCAGCATGAGATATATGTGAAGCAATTAAAAGTGGCACTTAGGACGCGAGGAGTCAGGGTCACAAAAAAGGATCTACTCCACTTTTTTGATTTTGTTCAAGACCTGTGTCCTTGGTTCCCTCAAGAGGGCACAATAAATCAAAAAAGATGGAAAAGGGTGGGGGGAACCAAACAACTGCTTAGAAGTGCTTCTCCCAGCACTGCAGGGGCCCCATCCCCCAATGATCGCTGTGAGGACTTAATTCCGTTTCACAGTGATGCGAAGGATGATCCATCCAAAGAAGAACAAAAAGAACCTTTAGAGAAAAATGAAAGGGCCTCTCCCGACCGGCCCAAAATAAAAAAGAAAAACAGAATTTATCCCTCTTTGAGCAAGTTTACTTTTGTAGCTACAAACCCTCCTTGCTCATCTGAAGAAGAGGGCGGAGTTTTTCCACCGCTTAACTCCAAAAGCGAAATCAAAGTTGCTTTGCAACCTCCCCCCACTATCGCAAAAGGGGAGGATCCTGAGGCAGGCGAGGTAGATTGGAGCAACCTGGAGGAGGAGGCTGCACGTTACAATCCCCACTCTCCTCCTTACTACACGGCCGCTGTTGCCTCTGCGCCCTCACAACTCGCTGACCCTAATCTCGACCTTAAAACCAAAATCGCCCACCTTGAGGAGCGCATGCGCCTACAGGCCCGTTATCATAAACTTTCCCTTCAACTTCGACAGATTCAGTTAACTTCTTCATCCAACTCAGATCCCGCTCCGCCATTATGGGGGAGGGGTGATGCCGAGGCCACTTCAAAGCCGCCCTTAAGGGGCGGGCTTGAAGCTGACGTCACCTTAAAGCCGCCATTATGGGGCGGGGTTAGCGCCGAAGCCACTTTAACTCCTCCCCCGGCTCCCGCCTCTTTGTCTGCTTTCCCGCCTCCCAAGAAGCCCTTTTCCGTGGCTTCTGTCTTTCCTGTTATTGAAGCTCCAGATGTTCAAGGCCACCTCCGCCGCTATCACCAACCACATAATTTTCAACATTTAAAGGAATTAAAAACCGCTGTTACCCAATATGGTGCTAGTGCCCCTTTCACTCTCACAATTCTTGATTCTATTGCAGAAGGGTGGCTCACTCCCCTAGATTGGCAAACTTTAGTAAAGGCTGCCCTTGACGGCGGAGATCATTTACTTTGGAGAACTGAATTTCAGGATCTCTGTAGGGACCTGGCCCGAGAAAATAAACGGGCTGGAAACCCATGGACTTTTGAAATGCTCACAGGCTCATGAGCTTCATCATCTCAACTCTCGCTCATTACTGCTTTTATTTAAAATTACTCGTGACCAAGCCAGACAAATTGTAAAAGCCTGCTCCACCTGCGCGACAGGCCTTCCTGTGCCTCATCTTGGTGTTAATCCCAGGGGCCTCGTCCCCAACGCCCTCTGGCAAATGGATGTAACCCATAATTCTCAATTCGGTAATTTTAAGTATATTCACGTTACTGTGGATACCTTTAGTGGGTTTCTCCTTGCCACCCTTCAAACAGGTGAAACCTCTAGACATGTTATTGCACACCTGCTCCACTGTTTCTCCATTTTGGGGATACCAAAACGTATTAAAACTGATAATGGCCCATGCTACACTGCAAAGGCCTTCAAAATTTTTTGCTCTACCCTGTCCATTCACCACACCACGGGCATCCCTTATAATCCTCAAGGACAAGGCATAGTTGAGCGTGCCCATCTTTCGTTAAAAACCACCATCCAAAAGATTTTACATGGTTCCTGGTACCCCTCTAAAGGTAACCCCCGCAATACGCTAAACCATGCTCTGTTCATCCTCAATTTCTTAAGGCTTGACGCTCAGGCGAAAAGTGCGGCCGATCGTTTCTGGCATACGGAAACGCAAAATCAGTTAGCAATGGTAAAATGGAAGGACCTTTTGGACAATACTTGGTACGGCCCTAACCCAGTTCTGATCTGGGGAAGGGGATCAGTATGTTTCTCTTCACAGACTCATGATGCGGCCCGATGGTTGCCTGAAGGGCTTGTCAGATTTGTTACAGATTTGTTACAGCATGGTGACCGCTTCCTGACTCATCCTCTATGCTGAGATGTTACTTTTCTCTTCGGCTTTTGCCGGCTTCAAGGATCCAGGCAAGATTGTGTCTTTGACTCAACATCTTCATGGTAAACCTTGTGAGTACAGGTGGGGCTATTTCTCTACCGCTCCTAATGGGTATGTCTCTTACATTACTTGCCCTGGCCACATCACATATTTGATCACTGTTGCAGGCTCCAGCCGTAAGTCCCGCTATAAATGCCTCCGGACAGCTATAGATGGCCCCTCACATGGAGGGCAGTGTACCTGCACTTCCTTTGCTGAGTCAGTACACTCCTCATGTTACTGTTATAAAGCAACCCTGGGGTGGGGGTGGAGTCCACAAAGCCTATATGAAATTAGCTTTGGGACATCCTTTTCCCCCTAACATTACAAGACCTTTTCTGAATGCATGGCCAATAATAATAAGACTTATTATACTGCTGTTCTTATCAGGAAGTCCCCTGCAAATCAGCCACTGGCCTCTACCTTGCTGACCACCTGTGGTGCCAACAAAAAGGTGGGTGACACAGTGTGCTGGGCAACTACTGCCCCAGTACATGTCACCAATGGAGGAGGTCCTCAAGACAAAGCCAGATATCGTTTTGTCAGTACAATCTTAAAACAGCTTGCACCGCGCCTTCCCCCTGCGCTTAGCTACCATCCACTTGCCCTTCCTGCTGAAAGACAAAAGTTGGGCATTGACTACAATACTTTTAATATCCTCAACTCTTCGTTCAATTTACTTAATTTAACAAATTCCTCACTGGCCAATAATTGTTGGTTATGTTTACAAATGGGTTTTCCTGTGCCTTTGGCCTTTCCAACAACCAATTCCTCACTTGCGCCCTACCATAATTGTTCTTTCTCGGTTCCCATCTTGGTTCAGCCTATCCAGTTTTTTGAGGCGCATTGTTTCACTTCCGATCTTAATACCTCTCTTGACTTGGGTGCACTAGCTTTTTCAAATTGCTCCACTTTTACCAATGTCACCTCTCAGGTGAATTCTCCTCTTTGTCCTCCCGTGGACACTGTTTTCATTTGTGGAAATAACCGGGCGTATACCGCATTGCCGACTAATTGGACTGGTCAATGTGTGTTGGGGTTCCTTCTACCTGACATAGACGTTGTTCCTGGAAGTGAGCCCATGCCCATTCCAACGGTTGACCATTTTTTCAGTAGAAGTAAGAGAGCAGTACACCTGATTCCCTTATATGCAGGCCTGGGTATAACTGCCGCCGTGGCCTCAGGGACAGCTGGATTAGGCATATCTCTCTCACAATATACTAAACTGTCTCAACAACTTATTAATGATGTTCATGCTCTTTCTAGTACTATTCAGGATCTTCAGGATCAGGTTGACTCCTTAGCTGAGGTAGTCCTTCAAAATCGACGGGGCCTTGATTTGCTAACTGCGGAAAAGGGGGGTATTTGCTTGGTACTGCAGGAGAAATGCTGTTTCTACGCCAACAAATCAGGAATTGTCCGCAATAAAATCCGACAGTTACAAGATGACCTGGAAAGAAGACGCCAGGAACTAGCTGAAAATCCACTCTGGACTGGTCTCAATGGACTCTTACCTTACCTTCTTCCCCTCATGGGTCCCCTATTAACCCTTTTGATATTGGTTGTCGTGGGTCCTTACATTTTTAATAGGATAATCTCTTTTGTAAGACAACAGATTCAGGCCCTTCAGGCAAAACCCATTCAGGTACATTACCATAAGTTGGAGATGCGAGATAAGGGAGGCTCTTACTCAGACTTACGCTCAGTCTGAAGAAATAAGACTCCCTTCCCCTGTGCGATGGACTGGTCAGCCAATGACGGGTAAGATCGGGGGCAGACTCAAAATGGCTTGAGGTGCTAAATCGCCACACGTCTGTGACTCCTGACGACCTAAGACAGGCGCAGTCCCCGAGGGTTTTTGTCTTTTCGCTCTCTCATTAGAAATAATAGAAAAGGAGGATATGTCGGGGCCCAAACTTGAGGCCCAGACCTGAACATCCGGGTTCTTGCCTGAAGCAGGTACTGAATGTTAGCTCCAGGGAAGGTTTCAAGTTTCCTATTGTGACGACTGAACCTTTCCCCCTGCTTGCTACTGTGGCTTGTTTGCATTGGTGGTCTCTCCTTGCTAGAGATAACGAGAGACCTCCTCCTCTGAACCCTATATAACATTGTACACATTCCTGAATAAATGAGACTGGCGATGATCCTGGCTTTGTCTCCACTCCTCGCGTACCCCTGTCCCATACCAAGCCCCTGCTTCCTCCCCCGGGTACCCCGTTGATCTGCCCGGCTGGCCCGGACAATACTGTATATCATCTGTTAGGAACAAGGCTCTGGAAGTCCAGGAGAATTTTCTGCCTTCCTCTAACCCCATTTCCACAATAGTGCCCTACCATTCTACCATATTGACAGTTTTTGCAGGGAGTGGCCATAGTAACCTATGTTTAGTATGTCACTTTCTTTCCCTTCTACTTACACTCTCACCTTCTTTGTGATGACATCCTCTACCCATGTTACTATTAAGGAACACCAGAGACTTCCCAGGTTCCAGTTTGTAAACAGTTTCAAATCATCTTAAATTCTGTATGGCACATGATTCTGCAAATATTATTTTTATTGTATTGATTTATTTCCCCAGTAAGCATTATAAACATATTATCAGGCACAAGCAAAAGAGGGACCTCAGGATGGAGAGAGAAAGAAAAAATATTTTCAGAATTTAATGTTTCAATACAAATGTCAAAAAGGTCAACATGTAAAGCTTCAGGATTCCTTTCTTATATTTACTTTTCAGTTCAGTAGTTTTAAAAAGTACATGTAAGGCACAGTAATCTTTTACTGCCTAGAATCTCCACTTAGCTTAAATTATTCTAATCAAACACAGTTCTTTCCTGGGTTTCTCCCATTTTTAATAACTATTGCTTCTTAGATGCTTGACTTGAAATCCCACAGTTTCTACCTGTGACAGAAAAAAAATGAACTGAATTTTTAAAAAGTATAGAAAAATTTGAAATATGTGTTCTGACTCAGAATAGGAGATTTTCATTTACAATTTATTGGTCAGAACTATTCAGTGGTCCCTCACCAACGAAGGGTATCAAAAAGTGGATTCCTATCAAGTGCCTGGGACAGGAAATAATGGAAAATACTTGGCAAATAGCAACACTGACTATCACATGAAGGGACTGAAACTCAGAGAGAAATTAAGCACTTATCAAAAATCATAAAAGTAGCAAGTGACATAACCACAATTGAGATATATATATATATATATATATATATATAATTTCAAAGACCTTTTTTCTACATTTACTCTTTTCTATGTTGTATGCCATTCTCTTAAAGGTGCTTCAGCTATTATAGAAATATTTTTGCCTCAATGTTGCTCTTCCCTCTTTCTCAATTACCTACATTTTATTTTTTTATTTTTTTTAAATAATAAATTTTATTTTTATATTCCCCATACAATTGCAAACGCCCCATTCTGACCCCAATCCTTCCCCTCCCGCCCCCCACCCCCAAAAAGTGTCTCTGGTTCATAGTTTTTTGTTGATTTTGATTTTCACTTTCTTATATTCATTTTCCTGGTCTCTTATTTAAGTTTTCTAGATTCCTGCTATGAGTGAGACCATCCGGTATTTTTCTTTTTCTTTTTGGCTTATTTCGCTGAGCATGATCCCTTCCAGCGCCATCCATGTTGCTGCAAATTGCATGTGTTTATCTTTTTTGAATGCTGAGTAATATTCCATGGTATATATGTACCACATCTTCTTGATCCAGTCATCTATTTTTGGGCATTTGGGTTGTTTCCAAAGCTTAGCTATTGTAAATAGTGCTGCTATAAACATAGGGGTGCAGGTGCTCTTTGGAATTGATGTTTCTGTGTCCTTTGGGTAAATACCTAGGAGTGGAATTGCTGGATCATATGGAAGCTCTATGTTTAGTAGGTCCAGAAATCTCCACACAGCTCTCCACAGTGGTTGGACCAGTTTGCACTCCCACCAGCAGTGCAGGAGAGTTCCTTTTTCTCCACACCCTCACCAACATTTGTTGTTGCTAGTTTTTTTAATATGTGCCATTCTCACTGGTGTGAGATGGTATCTCATGGTAGTTTTGATTTGCATTTCCCTGATTACAAGTGATGTTGAACATTTTTTCATATGCCTGTTGGCCATTTGCATTTCCTCTTCAGAGAAGTTTCTTTTTAGCTCTTCTGCCCATTTTTTGACTGGATTATTTTCTTTGTTGTTGTTGAGTCTCATCAGCTCTTTGCAGATTTTTGTGATCAGTCCTTTATCATTAGTGTTGGGTGCAAAAATGTTCTCCCAGTTGGTGGGGTTTCTCTTTGTTTTTGTTATTGTCTTTTTTGCTGTGCAGAAGCTCTTTATCAATTACCTACATTTTAGTAGACATCTCAAGCACTACAATCTGCAAATCTTTCTAAAGAAAATAAATCTTAAATATATTTAATACACATTATGAAAATGATAAATGTGGGCCTTTCTGGTGGCACAAGGGGTTAAGACGCAACCTATGAAGCTGTCTGCAGCCTCTGCAGGCCGAGTTCAATCCCTGGCCGTCCAGGAAGCAACCCATAAGGCGCAGCAGACCTCTCCTGTCTCGCCCGCTGCTCCTCTCAGTAGTGTATTTCAGTCAGTCTGCCTGTTCTGTTCCCCGCTCTGTCTCTGGTGAATCCTCTCACCCTTTGCCTTAACCCCCTGTGGCCTGAACCCCAGCTTTTATATGCATAAATAAATCTTTAAAAAAAGGAAAATGATAAATGTATAAAATAAATCTTACTAATATTTACTATTTCCAAGGGAAATAATAAGAGCAGAAATGAATGAAATTGATAACAGATGAAGGAGAGTATACTAACAATGCTAGTTTTCAGTACTTTGAAGAGATAATACAATGAGGGAGAGAGAAGGTGGTACTTTTGGTACACAGGATATTAGGTTCCTTGATCCCTGCCCTTGGTGTTATGCCTGCGAATGTATTACAAGTGAAAAGAGATTTTACTGATCTTATTAAGGTTGCTCATCAGCTCATTTAAGGAAAAAAATAGGTTTACACAATGTGATGAAATTAAAAATGGTTTCAAGCCTAGAGCCTCCAGAAAGCAACAAAACTCTGCTACACCATTATTTTTGGTATGTGAGACTCCAAGTGGAGAAACCAGTTTGTCCACCTGACTTCTGACCTATAGAACTATAGGATAATAAATAGATGTTGTCTTAATCTAATAAATTTTTGATCATTTACCACAGGAATATAAAACTAATAATGAAATTTCTTCTAATCCATAGATAAATCAGAGCTACAGTAATATTTAAAAGAAGAAAAATAGAAAAATCACTCCCAAACATAATTTATGAAGCTAGTATAAAATTGATAAAAGGGGGAGATCAAATCATGAAGTAATCTCAATCACGAAATAGTGCAAAGAATGTACATAAAAATAGTAGCAAATTAATCCAGCAATGTATAAAAAGGATACTACAGCACAACAAAGTTGTGCTTTTAAGAATGCAAGATTGGTTTATCATCCAGAAATCTGTAATTCAACTTACCATGGCAACAGAAATAGCAGGGAATGAAAGAATGATAACCTCAAAAGAACCTGGAAAAAAGAGATCTTACCAAATCAACAAATGTGCAGAATTAAAATAATTACAAGCAATTCCAGAAAACCAGGAATAGAAAGCTATTCTTTTAAATACGTCTTTAAAAAAAAAAAAAAGATTCATTTATTTATTCATTGCATAGAAGAACTGGGGTATAGACCAACGGTGTGGTGGTGTGAGAGAATTTACCAGAGACAGTGTGGGGAGCAGAACAGGCAGATTTAAAGAAATATACTGCTAAGGGTAGCAGCGGGTGAGATAAGAGGGGTCTGCTGTACTGTATGTGGGTTAGCTTGCAGGCCAGTGATTAAACTCAGGCTGTCATGGTTACAATGCTGAGACTTAACCCCTATGCCACCAGGGAGGCCCCAATTAAGACTTTCTGATCCAGATGGCTGATTGGACACATGATCTACATTTACTCCTCACCAAAACCTCACTAAAACATCAAAGATAAGTTATAATGTGCCCATAAAATTAAAGACTACATAGGGAAAAAGGCATTAATGTGGCTACTATCAAAAACATGTGAAAAAATTCAGATAAATAAGTACACGCTGCATGATTTCATTTGCATGAAATTTTTAAATAGGAGAAATTATTTTTTGTGATTGAAAACAGATCAATATTTGCCAGTGGTCAGTGGAACACAGAAGGCAATAATTGAAAATCTTTTGGAGTAGTGTTGTAAATGACAATATGATTACAGGGTTAGTCGATCAATATACAATGCTTTGTAAATTTGTTAAACATGTACTACTTTTACTTTTATTAAGTTTTAATTTCTTAAAGTTTTTTAATATAAAACTATTTTAAAAGTTATTAATAAAATAAAACCAGTGTGGTAGTTAATATATAAATGAATATTTCCAACCATTTCAACTGTCAAAAGGCCTGTTTGGATAACAAATTGAATGATTCCTCTTGGCAACTCAATGTACAACATGGTGGAATAGAGAGTTTGGCATCATTCTCACCCTTAAAAACAACTCTAAGACAATCATATTTGCTCATAGGAAGACCTAGACGCACTTTCCTGTATAGAGACCCAGACTTTTCCATGGAGATCTTGAACTAAGGTTGGTGGCCGCCGAGGGGAGGGATTGGGAAGAAGCAAAAGGGAGTATAACTGGATGAGTAGATA